ACTTCTATTCTCTAGGACAGGGGTGGGCAAACTTTTTGACTCGAGGGCCACAATGGGCTCTTAAACTGGACCGGAGGGCCGGAACAAAAGCATGGATGGAGTGTTTGTGTGAACTAATATAAATTCAAAGTAAACATCATTACATAAAAGGGTACGGTCTTTTTTTTTTTTTTTTTTTAGTTTTATTCATTTCAAACGGGCCGGATCCGGGCCCGCGGGCCGTAGTTTGCCCACGGCTGCTCTAGGACAACCTGAACAATCAGTATTATTCCCTCTTGAAGGATACAGAAACTGAGCCTCAGAGAGGTTTAGCATGTGTAGAGCTCTTTGACCCCATATAACATTTCCTCACCAAGAAACCTTTCCTCGTCCCACATGACAACCCCTCGGATCTTTGAAGATGCCCCTGAGCTCCGAGTCGTTGCTCCTTCAGAAGTGATCTCTCCCAGTTCCCTAGGGCCTCCTGTGACCTGCTCCCTTCTCCACTCTGGTCACTCTCTTCTGGACAGTCTGGTTTGTCAGTGTCCTTTCAATTGAGTGGCACAAAACTCAGCATTTTAAAGTTCACATTTTTAATTGTTGTTTATTTAACAATAACAATTTGCGTTAGACTGCATCTAACATTACAGAATTCTAGTGAGAAGCTTTTATAATCAATTAAAAAAACCAAGTTGGTGATTCAAAATGACCAAATAGAGTTTATTCCATGAATGCAAGAATGGTTTCACATAAAATATTTATTCATATAATTAATATAATTAACAATAAGCAGAAAAATCATGTCTGTTTATGCTAAAAAGGCATTTGATAAAATTCAACATGTATTTGTAATTTTTAAGTGCAATGAAACAGTACTAGAAGGATATTTCCTTAACATGATGAAATAACATATTTATGAAAATATATGTACTTACTTCTCATGTATATAACCTTCTAAGTGCACATTATGCTTAATAGAAAAACACTGAAAGCAATTCTTTAAAAATTAAGGTGACAAAGATGTCCACTATCACCACTATTAAACATTATTTTGGAGGAACTAATAAAATTATTTTTATGTTAATCATTTTTAAACCTGGAAAACCTAAGAATCAATTTAAAACTATTATAAACAATAAGAGAATTTAATGAGGTTTAGATATAAAAATCAATAAGAGTAATATAAGAACAACAGTCTGTTAGAGTTATAACAGACTAAACCTCATTTATAATAGCAACAGAAACAACAAAGATAAAATGCTTAGGGAATAAATCTAATAATAAAGGTGTGAGATTATGTGAACAAGTTGCTGAGGGACTCAAAGGAAGATATAAACAATAAAAAAGCATACCATATTTTTAACAGAGAGCTACCAGGAATATAAAGATACAAAGTTTTCCTTTTTAAAAATCTACAAATTTAAAGCAAGATCTTTAAAAATAATACCAACAGGATTTTTTATAGGAAATTAATAAACTGGTTCTAAAGTTCATATGGAAAAATAAATAAGAATAGCTAGTAATATTTTACAAAGGAAGTTTAACACAGGAGGACTAACTCTGTCAGATATTAAAATATAATACAATAATTTAAATAGAGTTATAATAGCATATGAATAGACAGAGAGATTAATGGAACAGAATAGAAGTCCAGAAATAGCCACTGTAATATGTGTGTATGCATGTATACACATGTATGTATATACGCATGTATGTATATATGTATACACATGTAATGTACACACGTGTGTATATATGTATACACATGTAATATATACACACATATACATGAGTACTTAGTATATGATAAAGATGGCATTTCAAATTAATAGCTAAAAGATGGATATTTTAATATTATTAGGATAATCTAAAAAAATCTATTATGCCTCCACATGACTTACACAAAATACATTCTAGAAGGGTCAAGGATTTAAATATACCACCAAAGACTGATTATGCAAAATGAAACCATAAAAGTTCTAGAAGAAAATACGGAATAATATTAATAAAACATCACAGTGGGGAATTCCTTAATGATACAAAACCCATAAGAGGTTAACAAAAACAGAAAATTACTGACTGCAAAAACATCAACAATAAGGCAGTAACTGGCAAAATATTTTATATTTGTGATACATCTCATAGATAAACAGCTCCTATCCTATATAATAAAAGCCTAATATGCTAAGTGTCTGGTCGTCTGGTCGTCCGTTCAAACAATCTAAGCATAATATGCTAATGATATGCTAAGGCCACTCAACCGCTCGCTATGACATGCACTGACCAGCAGAGGGCAGATGCTCCGACCGGTAGGTTAGCTTGCTGCTGGGCTCCAGCTGATCAGGACTGAGTGAGATGGGCCAGACATTCTCTGGAGCCCTCCCGTGGTCCCTCCCTAGCTGTCCAACCTCCCGTGTTCCTCCCCGGCCCAAATTTTGCACCAGTGGGGTCCCTCAGCCTGGCCTGCGCCCTCTGGCAATCCAGGACCCCTCAGGGGATGTTGGAGAGAGCTGGTTTTGGCCCGATCCCGCAGCCAGGCCAAGGGACCCCACTAGTGCACAAATTTGTGCACCGGGCCTCTAGTGAATCAATAAAAGCATTAGGAAAAAGAATTTTAACAGTTCATAAAAAGAAAATATAAATGGCTTTTAATCACAGAAACAAACTCAACCTTTAATAAAATATAAGAAATGCAAATAAAACAATGAGATACCATTTTTTAAAAAACTTATTGATTGACAAAATCAAACGTTTTCTAGCTCACATGGTTGCAAGGGACTTGGGGAGATAATTGCTAACTAACATTGTGACTGGTGAGATTGTAAACTGGTGCAAGTTCTGTGAAGGGCAATTTGGCAAGATTTAACCAAATTCCAAATGTATATTCTTGAGAACTAACAAGATCACTTGTAGGAATTTATCCCATGGATATACTTGCACTTGTGCAAAATTCTGTATATATGAAAGGATATTCATTGCAGCATTGTTTGTAATAGCAATGGATTAGAAACATTTGAAATGTCTTAACATTTGGGAATTGGCTAAGTAAACACAGAATGTTCATATAATGAAATGTTAAAGATGCTAAAAAGAAAGGTACATTTCTATATGTGTATTGAAATAGAACTTATTCCAAAACATGTAATTGAAGAAATATATAAACAGATAAGGTACAGACCAATGTGTATCTTATGCTACCATCTATACTAATAAAAGCCCAGGTGGCCCTCGTGCCCTCACGTCATCACAACATGGCCACCATAAGATGGCCGCCCCCATGTCATCACAAGATGGCTGCCACAGGATGGCTGCCCCCACATTGTCACAAGATGGCCACCCCCACATTGTCACAAGATGGCCGGCAGGGAAGGGCAGTTGGGGGCCATCGGGCCAGCAGGGAAACAGGGAGTGATCAGGCTGGCAGGCAGAAGTGGTTAGGGGCAATCAGGCAGGCAGGCGGGCAAGTGGTTAGGAGCCAGCAGTCCTGGATTATGAGTTGGACATCCCCCAAGGGGTCCCAGATTGGAGAGGGTGCAGGCTGGGTTGAGGGACAGCCTCCCCCCCCCCCCGTGCACGAATTTTGTGCACTGGGCCTCTAGTTTAAAAAATAATAGCATGTAAGTAGACATATAGAATATTTATGGATGAATACATGGGAAACTTATAACATAGCAGCATCTAGGGAGATGAACCAGGGGGCTGGGAAATAATGGTAGGAGGGAGACTGCAGACCTTTTCATGCTTTTTGAATTGTGTGCTTTATGTATGTATTAGAATCAAAGCAATAAACTAAGTAATCATTTTAAAAGAACAACAACTAAGTCAATTCACAAAGGCATGGAGAAACAATTTTCCTTATTTTTCACTTTATTGGAGCTAGTTTTAGAAAACTGTCCATTTGACATTCCCATAAAAAGAATTAATAGGTTCAAACGAATCAATGTCCATTTAGCTTTTTCTCATTTGAGCTTGTCAGATTTCAGATGTGCAAATTTCCTGGGAACAGAAAAAAGTATTTGCTTTGACTTGCATTCTGAAATGGGTCATGCCTTTAAAAAGTTGATTTCATCTGACATTGCTAAACACTTGAACTGCTGTTAGGTCATCTGTAGCCTGATTAACACTAATTGATCTATTGAATGGCAGGATTACTAATGCATTTTATTTGCTCACTACAATATCTGAGCTTGGCCAACATCCCAGGTTCGGGGTCTGAGATGATAGGTGGGTATATGGTGGGATCAGAAGCATCTCTGTTGAATTAAATGCCTGTTATCGCCACCGCCCTCACTTTTGGCTCATTCTCAGAATCTGACTTTTGAAAGCTTTGGTTGAAAAAAAAAATGCAAGCCTTGCACAAACTTTAATCTTGTGGGAGAATAGGAGGGTCACACTGTAATTGTCAATTGCTATCACGAAGAGTGTAATTGGTTTGATAACAAGAAAAAATGTTTTTCAGTGAAATGCCTAAGGGAGTATGTTGTTATTCATCTCCCCAAATGGAAGATGTACCTGCTGCCTTTGAAAGCTCAGTTCCCCTCCCTGAACAAAAACAAGCAGACCTCAGCAGTTCTTCTTCTCCCCACCTTGTTTGCACGAAACATCTTTTTTCTTATCTTTATGCAGTTTCAGGGTAACTTTTTTATTGCGTTGTTTTAGATGAAAGTTTATATCTTTAAAAAATAACTTCTAACCTGGCTGGTATGACTCAGTGGTTGAGCATCGACCTATGAACCAGGAGGTCACGGTTTGATTCAGGTCAGGACACATACCCGGATTTAGTGCTCAATCCCCAATAAGGGGCGTGCAGGAGGCAGCCGATCAATGATTCTCTTTCATCATTGATGTTTCTATCTCTCCCTCTCCCTTCCTCTGAAATCAATAAAAATATTTTTAAAATAAACTAAAAAATAAGTTCTAAATTTTTTTTGCCAATTCTAAACGCATACCTTGAATAACAAAGCATGCCTTCTCTTGCTGTTCTAACCCTGACTCCCATATTGATGCTTATTTGTTTATAGTAAAAGCTGGAGGGAAGCGAATTTCAAAAAAACAAGAAATTGGCGTCTTGGAGAGACACACCAGAAAAACAGGATCTGAGAAAACAAGGTAGGGGACTGCTTGATTTCCTTTCCTGTGTCACCTCGAGGAGTTTTCAGTGACTCTTCTTTCAGAAGTCAGAGGCCTCCCAGTCCCCCTAGGCCAATGGTTCTCAACCTTCCTAATGCCGCGACCCTTTAATACAGTTCCTCATGTTGTGGTGACCCCCAATCATAAAATTATTTTCGTTGCTACTTCATAACTGTAATTTTGCTACTGTTATGAATCGTAATGTAAATATCTGATATGCAGGATGTATTTTCATTGTTACAAATTGAACATAATTAAAGCATAGTGATTAATCACAAAAACAATATGTAATTATATATGTGTTTTTCTGATGGTCTGACCCCCAAAGGGGTCACGACCCACAGGTTGAGAGCAGCTGCCCTAGGCTTTTGCTAAGCTGGGTTACAGACAGCCGCCAAGATGGGGTGTGGTGGGGGTCAGAATCCGTGGTGATGCAGACTGGAGGTGAAAGGTCGCTACCTTCTGGAGGACTCTTTCTGAGCCCCCATCACTAACCCCACCCATTCATTCTCCCACTCGCTGAGTCCAGCCCAGCTGTCTTGTACTTAAATGACACAATCCTAAATGCATTCAAACCTGACGCACATCCCTTTATCCTATTTTCACATTAGCCTTTAAAATAGTGTCCCTAGGCTGCCCTATTTTCATAGTATGCTTTCTGCTGAAGCAAATCTCCTGAATTAAAAATAAATGCTTTTTAGTTGTTGTTTTGAATTCATCACTCAATTATTTAGAAACTATTAATGGCTGCTATATTTGGCATAGCAGGAGGGCCTATAGATACTGAGGCTGGTTTCTCCCTGCCCCTTCCACCATAACCTTGACACACTGCACTATTCCCAGAGCTAAGCAGAAAGCTGTGGCTGGAGCAGACACGCAAATGGCCCAGTCACTCTATGCCTTAGTTAAGGAAAACATGTGGAACTGGCTTCTCCAAGAAGTATAATGATGGTGCTTCAGAGACTATTTCAAGGTGGTTTCCATAGATAAGTTGGTGAGTATTTGAAAGGAGTTGATTAGATGCTCAAGGTACCTCCTTAAGAGTTAAAATGGCCACAGTCTCAGAAGGAGAATACGGAGGGAAATGGACTATAGATTTTCTCTGCCTCTTTCATATAACACATTTTTAGATCATTTTAAAGTTTCCTTTCTGATTTCTGTGGAGGAGATGGTTTGGGGATCTTTTCTACATTAAAATAAAATACTCACTAGCCCCTTAGCAGTGTTTGCTTCTCCCGATACCAGAACATAACCATCACATAAGGAAAGCGACACTGCGAGTCCTCGCTAGTGACCCGCTTGGAGGCCAGCTCCTAGAACAGAGAGAGCGCCCTGTGCATGATAACACACGGTTGTTGAATCGCAAGCTGACTGATTTGGAAAGTGTGCTCTGTTACTAAGACCTGACTTAAGCATAAGCCCTGTTTATGTAACACACCTGGGCCAGGGGCTCAGCAACTAGAGTCATAGCTTGGAAATGACCTTCTAGTTGGCAGCCAGTGGGCAAGTCATATTTCTCTGCACCTCAGAACAAGGGGACTTGCTGTTAATTCCAACGTCAGCTGAACAGAGAAGGAAGCGGAGTTGGCTAGAGAGTAATAAAGTGGTGATTGAACCCCTCTTTTAAAAATGCAGGTTTTTTTTATAATAGTCATTAAAAGATGGGAATTGGACTACTACAGAACTTAAACAGCAAGAAATCAACCTCCCTCCCTATTTGTCAGGGATAGATATGAGTAGGTAGGACCTAAAGCTTATAGAACTTGGGTGCCATTTTTAAAAGATAATAAAGGAAGCTACCAATGTGAAACGGCCAGGGCCCTCCCTGTTCAGGGAGCGGCGGTGCAGCCGCAGCTTCACCAGCTCCACCATCCGTTCGCCCCTGCCCTCACCTCTGCTCCAGTAGCGTGTGCAGGGGATGGGAGTGCCTCGTCTTCATGGACAAACAGTCCCCTTACATCTTCTTGGAGAATAGCTTTTGAAAAAATAGACCCTGGAAAATAAGTTTCTAGGCATCATCAATCTATGTCTGTTTCCTAATAACGTGCACCAACCAACACAAGCCATCCAGAAAAAGAAACTATGTCGAGCGCAGAGTTTCCATCAAGAAATTGTACTGCAGGCTCGTCCCTGATTGAAACCCTCCTACAAAATAACTTGACCTCGGAGGAAGCCAGACACAATAGAGCGTATGCCTTATCATTCATGTTATGAAGTTCACAAGCCGTCAAGACGAATCCATGGGGCTATAAGTCAGGGAGTGGTTATCCTTAGGGGCAGCTGGTTAGACTAGTGTGTTAAGTATCTGAATATGTGCTAAGCCGTGTACTGATAATAGGTGCACTTTTCTGCGTATGTCATATACTCCAGTGAAAAGTTCAAAAGCGAAAGTAATAATAAGTTGGCCTATAAGGCTTGTCACGTGGGAGGCAGGACTGTTTGTCTTTCAGACGTAACCAAGCAGAGTGACACTTAAAGGCCAACTAGACCCATTTCTGTATAAATCATTGAACCTCTTCAGTGGGTACGTTTTCAGGTCCTCTATGAAGTTTCTTTTCATCTTTTCAGTGCTATTGTGAATGTTGCCAAAATACAGACGATGGATGCCCTGAATGACACACTGGAGAAGGTAAGCTGTGGGTGAGATGCATCATGGGACACTCCCAGACAGTACTCCCCCAAACATCAGGCTGCATGGATGAATGAGCCCGTGACCACTGAGGTGTTTTCCAGCTCGGAGGATCAATGTCCTTTTGAAAGAATCTGCTCTCTGTCCCAAGAGCACAGAGAGGTCTTGGTGAGAAAAATTGCTTCTCCCAAATTCCTAGTGTCCATTCAATATATCATCTCAAAAATAAGATAGAAAATAAAGCACGAATCATGACACCAAATTGGCAGGACTTTACTTTGCCATCCCAAATATTTCTCAGACACATTGGCATGGTTTTACAAAAAGGCAGCCTGTGTATTGGGAATCCTACAGTTTTGCCCTTGCTCCTGACCACTGCATTCCGGTAAGGCAGTATTTGACTGGAGGCGAGTGCGGGTGGTGGAGGATTGCACAGTTTCAGGCCGGAGGAAGGCTGGGCGCTGGCTGGCTTTGTCCAGAAAAGTCTGTTCAAATAGGTGGTTGACCACTGCTGTTGTTATCTCTATATCATGAATTTCTTCTAAGTAGCTCAACAAACTAAAAAAACTTACCAGAAAGACGGTGGTTTGGTTTTTGTATTCAAGCGTTTTTCAACTACGTAGGTGAGCTGACTGAGAGTCTTTCTTATTTCTGGAGGACAGATACATTGCATGTAAGGCAAGAAAGAGCACTCTTTTAGATGCTCCCACGTTTGTTAAAGGGACAGGACTGGGCATCCTTTATAGAAGGAAGACTTGTCATTACTGCCAACATTAGGGCTTTGAAAAAGATGAGCGCAGAAACTGTGTGCTAGGCCTCTGACTCCCCATCTGGCACTAGCTCTTCCACTTACCAGCTGTATGACCTTGAGCAGGTTACTTATTCTGTGCCTCAGATTTCTTGTTTGTAAAATGGAGATAAGAAAGAAAATACACTTCACAGTTTCATTGTGTGGAATAAATGAGTTCACACAGGTTAGCTCTTAGAGCGGTGCCTGGCACAGTCACCTGTTTGTACTCTGCTCCGGGGAGTAGCATGGTTTCATGGCAGAGATAAAAAGGTACATCTGAAGTCCCTGGGATGTTAGGAGGCAGAGAATACAAGACAAGATCTCGATTATACAGTACACGATAGCTACAGAGCCTTCTCATGTGGGGGGCTTGGTTCTCCCATAACATAGATTTGAGGTGAGGTCACAAGTGCCTCTTTGCCTTGCTGGCTTTACAGGAAGGGCAGGGGTGGAGGATGCCCTGCCAGGGCAACACCAGCTACCCGCTCCTGGTCTCGCCTTCCCTTGCCCCTGCCCACTAAACGCCTCTTCCTCGGGGGCAAGAGGATGCCACAGTTGTTGGTGAAACCGGATGGCACGTTCCTCGAGAATATATGTTGACCCAAAATGAAATGTTTAAGGACCATGGTCAGTAAAGGTTTACGCTGTGTGTAAGTATGATGCAAGGGTCCATATTGGGTTTTTTTTATAGACCTATATGCATATGTTTGTGACATAGAAGGGTTCTTCAGTTAAAATACCAATTCTCTATTCCAAAGATAAAAAGGAGAGTCAAGTGACAACAACAGTGATCATTGTGTTCGGAAAAATAAGACAATAGTGAGATGGTGTACTGTTAGAAATATGTTTAACAGCAACTATCCATGTAAAAAGAAAAACTTTAACACGTAGCTCAGTGTTTACTGGGGTGGGAATGTGGTCAACACTGTATAGATTACTGGCTAAAACAGGCTCTGGCATCAGACATCAGATGCCTGGGTCTTATGCCAGCTCTGTCACTCACTAGCTGTGTGTCCTTGGGCAAGTTTCTTCACTCTCTGTGCCTCTGTTTCCTCATCTGTAAATGGGAATGTGAGTAATAGTATCCACGTCAAAGTGATATTGTGAGAACACAAGAACGTTATATAACCCGTGCAAAGTACTGAGCACAGAGCCAAACACACCCAGCCCTCAGTATTAGCTTCTAGTCCCAGGCAGCTATCCTACAGGGCGCCACTTGGATTCCTGGGCAAAGGATAAGAGGCCAGAAAATCAAGTCCCAAGATTGCCATAGTGACTGTCTTGAATATGGGAGTTAGTGGGATCCACATATTTCCTTACAGCTAAGAAAAATCCTCCCTGAATCCATAATTCAACCTGACGTGTAATAGGATTTCATAATAAAGGTCAACTGGGGTAAAAAGACCAATGCCTTTTAAAAGATAGATCTGCTGCAATCAGTGGTTGTCAGTAGCTTCGTTGAGAGGAGGGGTTGACCACAAAGAGATAGGAGGGAGTTTTTTTGAGGTGAGGGAGTGATGGAATGGTTCTATATTTTGAGTGTGATGATAGTCACAGACTGTATGTACTTATAAAACTGTGCACTGAAAAGGAGTATATTTTATTATAGAAAAATTCTACCTTGATTTTTTTTGTTAGTCCTCACATGAGGATATTTTTCCATTGATTTTTAGAGAGAGTGGGAAGGAGAGAGGGAATGAGGGGGGAGAGAGAAAGAGAGAGAGAAAAACATTGATGTGAAAGAGACACATTGATTGGTTGCATCCCACACATGCCCTGTCCAGGGTTGGGGATCGAACATGAAACCCAGATAAGTGCCCTTGACCGGAAATCAAACCCATGACCCTTCAGTGCATTGGCCAACATTCTAACTACTGAGTTACACCGGCCAGGGCTATACCTTAATTTTTTAAAAATAAATATGTATAAACTATATGCCTTATACCAAAAAATTGTAAGACATAAAATCATAGAGATAAAGATATTGGCATATGCTGATAAATTTTCACCTGTATTACAATGATCCCTTCTGCAAAATATATTGTCGCAAAGTCCTAACAATATGCAATTGGTCAGAAGAAATACCTGCATTTATTTACATTCATTCATGCCCTCCGCTACAATTCTGTCTAGTTCCAAGAACTCATGTTAATTCTCAGATCAGTTTAAGAACTTAGAGTCTAAGCCTGTAAAAGTACAGCCTGACTCATAGGATCTCAACAACCACTCAATCATGGCAGGACATTTCTTTCCATAAGCTATTTATCTCAGGATCCCTACTTCAAAACCAGCCGAGGGTTTAAGATTTGGGAGATTGAAAAACTGTACAAATCTAAGTGGAATTTCCCCTCCCACTATCTTCCCCACTCCTCCCTTCACACAGACCTCTGTCCCCACTACCTCTCCCCATCCCTCCCCACCTCTCCAGCCCTGGATAATAACCGAATTCCTGTTGCCCAGTGACAGACCACATAACATGGTATTCCTGGCAGAAGAAGGAGTTATGTAAGCTTGAAAACTCTAGGCTAAAAAGCAGGGAGACCTGGTCTTAGACCAAATTCCACCTACTCCTTAGAGCTTGTTTAACCTTTTAGAAGTCCCATAGCTGCTCTGAGATTTATGTTTGCTCATTTACTTAATTTTTTTTTAAAGGCAGGGATTGAGAGAGAATGGTACTGCCAAGTATATTCCTTCTCTGGATGGTTATGGAAGTTAAACTTGGCATTAGTTGTGAAGCTTCTCAACATGAAAGTATCCAGTTAAAACATCAGAACAGGGTTGCGTTATGGTGTGGAGGGGGTGGAATGTTGAAGCCCAGTTAAAGTTGGGGCCACTTTTCAAGTTGCCAGATGCATCATCCACACCAAAGTGAGTGAGATGGATGTGCAATGGGGTCCTGGGGGAGAGGAGACGATCAAAGGCATCTGCAGACCTAGAAAGGCTTCTCTGTTCCGTGGGTGAACATCGCCGTAGGAGTAGCCTTGAATTTCATTGACTCAAACCGAATGTTTTGTTTTAAGCACTTTACTTAACGGGGTGTGGAAATCTAAGTGCCACGTTGGAAGTTAACAACCGGGAAAGATGAATGGAAGAGCGGCCCGTCTGCAATACTACCTACCTTCAGGCTCTAAAACAAAACCTGCCTCTGATTTCCCTGCATCTGGAATTTCTTTCACAGCTCCAATCCTAAGGACTTCTAACAGACTTCTTTTGCTTTTTCTCTGAAACCAAAAATGTAGGTTCTGAGGTCACAGCTACCCAAGATGAAGGTAAATTCTCAATGTGGGTGTTTCTACTGATCTGCTTTTTAAGTTCAGTGTGTTGGCCCTTCTGTGATGGAGCCACGGCAGGACAGAGTCCTCACACCTATGCCAGCCTTGAATTCTCTCTCTTGTGGGGTTACCCTAGATTCTCTTACCCTCATGAATCAGACAGGAAACACCTGTCATTCTACAAACCCGGTCAGTTTACAGAGATGAATGATGAAGAATCCCAAGCTTCCCTACGTGAAGACGCCAGTCTGAAGTCACAGCGAGCTGTAGGCTGCACTCTGTGAAGCTATCCCTACTTATTTCTAGTTCAGACTTGAAAATAAAATCTTTCTATCTCCACTGATATAGAACCTAAACCTCAGAAGTAGGACATTGCAGGGTTGACTGTTTTATTTACAGTTTCCATTCTAGCGGAAGACTCTTTATGGGTGCTGTACCCACAACCCCCAAGTCCTTCTACATTAGGATGTCCCTGATGGAGCGGTGGGTTTCAGGGACAGCGAACTTGACTCTCTTGTTGTATTGACAGGGTGTGGCAAAAGTAGATTTACAGTTGTTCGTATGGAAAAATAATACAATAATTAATAAATAACAATACAAGAATAAACTGTTTCATGTACTCACTACTGTGAACCTACTTTTGCCCCACCCTGTATAAGAGGTGCTAGAAAAGCCTGTACTGCCCCCCCCAAAACCTGTACTTTTGTAATTTAATAATTATGGGCAGTTTCGCTAAGACTATTATCTTTGCTTGAATTAATTTCCACTTCCTTCTCAATCCTATTGATTTTTTTCCTCCTAAACTTTCCCAAACCAGATGTAGGTGGCCAGTGAGCCCCAGAGGCGGTCTCTCCCTCATTCTGACATGGGGAGTCCCCTCCCGAGACCAGCTTAGCAGAGCTTTTAGAACCTCAGTTAAACGCCTTGGTTAACATGTGACCCCTAACCCTGTGCATTACCGATAAGAATGGAAAATGGTGCCATCCCCATCCACTATGGACAGTGGTGGTTGCTAGCAGCTAGGGAAGGAAGGAAGGAGGATTTATTGCTCAAGGAGTACACAGTTTCAGTTTGGTATAATGAAAATTTCTGGAGATGGATGTAGTGACGGTTGCACAACAATGTACTAGTAAATGTATTTAGTGCTACTAAACTATACACTTAAAAATGGTCAGAATTTTATGTTAGGTGTATTTTACATAGAAAAATGTAAGCCCTAAATTGTGGAAATAACCCTGGAGATGAATTAGTGCCACTTTAAGCAATAAGTGTGTTCCAGCAAACTCTCCCCTTTCCCACCTCCACCCATCATCACTCTCGCGCCTTAAAAACAACAATCAACATTGTGGCTTCCTCTCCTCAGTCTCAACTTGTCATCGTGGGCCATCTCACCTTGGCTAATTGCCCAGGTTTCTGTTATATCATAATTACTTGTTCATTTCCTTTCTCACCACCCCCCACCCCTTTACCGTACATTTACATTTGACTTGAATAACTTGCCAGGTTGTTCTTCCTACCTGTAATCTCTTGAATGTGATTTAGCGCTAACCTGAAATAATCCATCTGTTTTAGTTGACGCTAAAGACCCACAGTCTGGAAGAAAATTACTGACGTCAGTGACCTCTTAAGTTTCCTTCTGGTTCTAATGTTTAAAGAAAAACAAAACAAAGCACTCTGCCTTTACCACCCTATAAAATGCATGTCATGTGGCTTGATGATAATTGGTCTGACCAAAATAAACTCTTCAGTGCTTTTTTAAAAAGATTTTTCTTCCTTTCTGCTAGAATGCCAGCATAAACCATCCTTGGGTTTAATTATTGTAAAAGAAAATTATTAGGAAAATACTGATAGGCAAAATAAAGGAAAAGACTAGGAATTGCCCATAATTCTACCCCTCAGAGATAACCAATGTTAACACTTCAGGTTATATTCCTCCAGTGTGTTTAATTTTTTAAGACCAAGAATAAAGGACTTTCTAGTGTCAAGTTTCACATCAAAGGGAATGCTGTGTGCCCAGAGCTCAGGGACATTTGAGAAGAGATTCAAGGCACCTATGTTTTCCCGGCTTAGGAGAGTCCAAACAAACCATAAACAATGTGATGTTGGGGTCATGAACAGTTTATCTCCCCTTTTAGTTAATTTGAGTGTCAAGGCAGGGGCATCTCCGTTCAATGGTGATTAAGTTAAATTCCTAGTGAGCTGAGGCATCCCTTTTTTTGCTTGCTAGGGAAGGTATCCTTAGGTGCCTTTATGTTTGTATCAATGGCTTGAAAACAAAGAACCAGAGTAGACCCAAGAGGTCACTGGGTTTGAATTCCCCTCCTAGGAAAATTATGTCTGAAGTCCTTGCAGCATTGTGCATCCTTTTGATTTTAAGCCATCCTTGATGTAAATTTCATAAGGTGTTTCAGTTCCATATGAAATTTATCTTATTGTCAAATAGTCTCAGTCTGTGTTAACTTAAATCTACTTAAGCCTGTTTCCTCATACATGTCTTCTGTGGAGGTGACTAATGAGAACTTTGGGTACCTGAAGCTAGTCAGTCATTCTTTAGCTTTCTTTTCTTTCTCAGGCTGTTTAGATTGAACCATATGAAACAGCCAATATTACACCATTTTTTTTACCTATTAAAATAGAAGTTTTACATGTTTCATTCTAATAAATAATCCCAACTTTCTAACTTCTTACAGAGGTTCTCTATTTCTGATCTTTTGACAACTGAGGGGTTCTTTCCCTTCAGGACTTTCTCAAATGTTCCCGTAGCCTTCTTAGAATATAGTGATTCATATATGCATACTGGTGCCAAAATAATTGCTAATATTAGAAGACTGATGCAGAAATAATGAACCATTTATACTTGTAAAAATGTCACTTCAAAACACAGACATATGTATTATGTATATTATTTTAATATACTATCTGTTATAGTTTTACAAATTAGAGATAAACAAATGAGGGAAACCCCAAGTGAACACACTATGGACCCAGAGCTGGAAGTGGTATGGAAAAAAAGCAATACTATCAAAGAAGTAAACAAAATTGTGAAATTTCCATGACCAACTGGATTGCTTTCCATTACTTTAATACTTCATGGTAAAAAAGATCCAATATGCTTATTTTTTTCTTTCCTTCTCACATTTAGCTCAGCCATAAATTTCCAGCAATATTGCACACGGCACATCAAAAACCCAGACCTGCTCTGGAGAAGGTCACTCCAATGAGAAGGATCTACATTATTCAACAGCCTCGAAAATGCTAAGCTGGGACGTAAAACACAGCCATCTGCCCAACTGTCTCCAACATCTGACAGCTTAGCACAAGGACCAAAACTTCCCTTAGGCTTGGTGCACTTGCTTGGTAAATAAAACAGCCTTTGTATCTTCTCTTTGGATGTTAGATAATAAAGCATTCAAAATTGTGAATGCAATGCATTCTTGGGCCTCATTTTGGTCCAGGACAAGATTGCATTGATAGTTACAGAAGAATTCGGATGAGTAAGTGGAGAATCCAGAAGACTTGACTCTTCCACTCTACCTCCTTGGACAAGCTCTCCTATCCTTGATGCTGACTCTGAGCAGTTCCACCCACAATGAGTTCCCTAAGGCAAAGGCTGAAGAAGTGTACACTGAGCTTTGCGAAGACCAATATTCTGTGCAAACATCAGGAGTTATTCTTCTCCGTGTGTTTGTCTCAAGACGCTCAAGTTTTCGCTTGAGGTGAAATGTCTTTCTGTTTCACACATAAATACATGGGTTAGTGGGGGTGGGGGGAATGAAAAAATTAGTTTATTACAAACGTATTCTCTTCTGTGAAGCAATCAAGGGTGGGAAGTTGAACTATAGTTTCAATAGGAGATTTGATCAGGGTCTCCCAGAAGGTTCATGCTCTAAAAAGAAATGGATTATGATGCTGCAGGGTATTGTGGTTGGGGTATAGAAGTTGATTTTAATTGGAGGTGGGGGTAAGAGGGAAAGTATTGCCACAGCAAAACCTGCTGTAGCTCTCCTAACTTCCACAACACACACACACACACACACACAGAGAGAGAGAGAGAGAGAGAGAGAGAGAGAGAGAGAGAGAGAGAGAGAACTCCATATATTTACATCAAATAGCCAAGGGCATCCTCAAGGGTTTCTACAAAGATTAGCTGCCACTCACAGTCCCACCATTCTAAACCTCTAATTAATACTGCTGTCCATGATTCAGCACTTCTCTTTACCCAAGGACAGGGTCAGCACTCTAGTCCATTATTTTACAGGTTGACAACCCTTGGAGTATGACCTGGTGCCAAGCCTGTTTCTGATTCCTGGAAATCCAAAGCACCTGGCTAAGGCCCAGTGGTCATAATGATGCACCCCACCTCCTCCCCTGTGTTGTTTGGATCTTTTTTAGGAGTAAGAGAGTTGTTTGAGACAATATCAAGCCTCAGTCAGTGCCAGCATGAATCAATAAGACAGTCCTAACCACCTCCCACTTTTGCTTATCTCAGTTCCCAGTCTTCTGGGTCTGTGGTCAGGAATATTCCAGAATAGTAAGTGTTGCAAGGCAAATACCAGTAAATGCAAAGAAGTTCAAAGTCAGCCACCACTTCCCCACAGTAGCAAAGTATAAGCCTGAGGTGGATGCTTGCTGGACCACTGAACTGAGATTAGGAGACTGGGGTTCAGCTTCTGCCCCCTCCTAGGTTGTCAACCTTAAGCAAGCCACTCAACCTTTCTCACCCTTGTCAAACAAGCATAACAACATCTGACCTCCAGTTTAACCTGCCAGTGGCATACTGAGAAGACAAGAAGAAGACTACTCTTTAAATGGCTTACTGGGGTTTGCAATAAGCCATTTAAAGAGTAGTGAGAGCAAGGTGGTACCAGGATGGCTGCTCTACAAGCTGACAGAACTATAGTAGTAGAACTATGAGAGATAGTATAAGCTGAGCCTAGAATAGGAAAAAAAGTGTTGGCTATAGCAATCAATAACCCACATGCAGCTCTTAATAAACATATTTTAATTAAGCTTTTAATGGAAATTTTAAAACATACACAACAGTTGACTGAAAAGTATACTGAACATTGAGGTGCCCATCACAGAGCTTCAAGAATGTGGACAATCTTGTTATATCTATGGTGTCTACCCTCCCACTTCCTCTTTCTTGTTCCTCTCCCATCTGGATTACTTGAGAGCAAATACCAAACATCATAGAAACACTTCAGTAGGAGAGCTCCAAGAGATAAGCACTTCTGTGTGCACATTCTATCTCTATCTTTCAGTCTCTTTCTCTCTCTCTAAACTGAATTTTATAAATATTGTGGAGAAAAAGGGAGTACTTATGTAAACCGTCCAAGAATCTTTCACCATAAAAGGGAGACTGGCATTGCTATGCTAGCCACAAGAGCCAGAAAACAAAACAACACAACCCACTCTCTCCTCTCTCTCTCTCTCTCTCTCTCTCTCTCTCTCTCTCTCTCTCACACACACACACACACACACACACACACACACACACACACAACTGAGCCAGTAACACCCACAGAAATGACTACTGGGAAATTTGAGAAAGCAGGGGAGCTAGAAAATAAAGATGGCTTTCAGGTTGAATGAAAGAAAAAGTTATTGGAAGGAAACAAGAGGTACAGGAAGAATACGTTAGAGAAAACCAGCTTTTGCTGAGAAAACAGATATAGAGAATATTTAAAAATAGTTAGTTATGAAACCACTCAGAAAAAAAGTGGGGTAAAATAGGAACAAAAAGATAAATTAATGGCAGGAAAAAATAAAATTGATTTATTCAATTTATTCAACAAACATTTATCAGGTTCCTCCTGTGTGATGTGTTTTCTTTAGAAACCCAAGACCAAGGAGGATAGGGCTGGCATTTGGTACATATTATGTTTTAATCTGAATGTCTAGATGTCAGCTAGATTTACCATCCCTTTCAAATAGGTAAGATAAGCTCAAACCACCATCCTCCCCTAGTGGATGTTCAAAGGGCTCCTACAATCTCTGTGAATCTCCAAGAGGGTTACATTGTCATAGTCACCTCTGATTTTCAACAAATTCGTTCATTAATTGTTGTCCCTGTGTCCCACCATCCTGATCTGGAGTTAAGATTCAGCCCTTTTCCATGATTTCCCCAAATGTCTACTCCACAGATTTTAGTAGAGAGTTTACAACTTACAATAGAATATTAGATATCCTTGTTTTTGTATGTATGTCCTTATTCCATTACTTCCCATTCCCCCCAAACCAGGATTGTGTGCATCCCTGGCCACCACTCTATTCCTCACACCATTTTGTTGGATGCCTTCCTCCTCCCACTCTCCCCTTCTCACTTTTCTCCACTCCTCTTCCTCCTAATATCTGTTCAATTCCAAATCAACAATTAGTATTTCTGGAGTTGTCTTGACTCCCAGAAAACCACATCTTCAGGGAGTCACCTTACCCCAAAATAGTCTCCCTGCATCTAACAAGTCAAACTTCAGCTGTCAGGATGTCAACATTTTCATCCAAATAGGATAGTATGCATGAATGATTAGTTGATTAATTAAAAAGAGAAAAGTGACAGAGAACCCAAACCAAGAAAAATGAGGAGCCAAAGGAAAAAAGAGAACTTTAGCTTGGCCAGCATGGCTCAGTGATTGAGTGTCGACCTATGAACCAGGAAGTCACAGTTCATTCCTGGTCAGGGCACATAACCAGGTTGCCAGCTCGATCTCCAGAGTGGGGTGGGCAGAAGGCAGTCAATCAATGCTTCTCTCTCATTGTTGATGTTTCTATCTCTCTCTCCGTCTCCGTCTCTAAAATCAATAAAAAAAAATATTTTTTTTTAAAAGAGAACTTTCATAGGAAATGTTGAAGAACTGAAAGAAAAACACAGACACAAAATTAAGGTGAACAGAACTTCAACTAAAAATACTTAAACATACAGAATTGTGAACATGATTTTTGCATACAGTATTTCATGAAATCTTCACCAGAACCATGCAAGGTGGTAGCTCTCATTATGGCATTTTACAGATGAGAAAAATGAACCTCAGAGAAGTTAAGAGGTTCCCAAGGTTTTACAGCTTATTAAAAGGGGAAAATTCTATGGGAATTTAAAAAAAAAAATTTTATGGATTTCAGAGAGGGAGAGAGAGATATGATGAGAGAGAATCATCGATAGGCTGTCTCCTGCACATTCCCCTACTGGGATCAAGCCTGTAAGTAACTTGGACATGTACCCTGATGGGGAATCGAACTGTAACCTCCTGGTTCTTGGGTTGATGCTCAACCACTGAGCCACACCAGCTGGACATCCCCAGTAATCTTTTAATCCCAAATCTAGAGCTGTCTCTATTACCCCATGAGAACACAGGCTAAAGCTAGATCTTAGAAATCTCCAAAATGAGAGCATCTGGATGTAGTTTTCACTTAAGAGATAGGGCTAAATTTGAAGAGAGAAACCTGGGTATGAAAGGACTGGGTTGGGATTAATCAAATTCCTCAATACAGGAAGAATCATTCAAGTTCAGATTTTCAGATTTTTGCTTAAAAGAGACAATATGGAAGTTTGAAAAATCATGAAAGTGAACGAGGTTGGTATAGATATAAATTCTCAAAAGAAAAATGAAAACTAAAAAAAAAGGAAAATGCTCAAAGGATGTCTCCCTGTGTACAGCCAAAGGCATGAGGCTAGGGAAGATGTCAAGTGCACCTTGGGAAAGCAGCAAGAGCAGTGGATAAACCAAAGGGGACCTCTGCAGTGAAGTATTCATTATCAGATGTAAGATGTGGTAATGGAGATGTGGATTTTTCTACACAGGCTTTCCAAATCAGCCTAAATAATTGCAAAGGCATATTTTGAGTGACTTGTATGCCTGTCTGATGAGCAGGCATGCCACAGGACCTCAGGCCCACGTTTGCACTGGTGTTTCCAACCCCACTGGCATCAATCATGAAATTATCAGAGAGCTGTGAGAAAAGAGAAGAGGAAGACTCGACACACAAATGTTCTTCATGAAAAAACGTTGCAGGATAGTTTCAAAAGAATACACAATGCGAGATAATCGAGTCATCATAGGCTTGCTAAAGTCAAGAACTTGCCCAAGTTATACAAAGCCATATCTATATTAAAACAACAACTTAATTATGAGTAAAATAATTTAGGTCAACAGTTTGGGTGCAGAAGGGTCTTTTTATTTATGTTTCTAAAGTGTCTATCAATTATTAGTTTAAGAATCATTAGACTGGAGATAGGGATTTATTCAGCTGCCGACGCTAGCCATTTGAATATAGTCGGATTAAGAACATCATTAGCAAAAATGCTAGAGGTCATAAAATGTAAAATGAAAGGTTTTATCATTTCTATTTATGCAATGGTAGAGATTGAAATTGATTTCTTAAGACATAGGGAAGTGGGTAAAGAAGTGAAGAACAGACGTTGTGCGCCCTAAAGATTTTAGCATAATAAAACACGTTTTAAAATGACACAAAGACAGCTTTCCAAAGAAATACGGCCAAAGACTTTCAAAAATAAAATAGATATTGCCATAGAAGCATTTAAGGGAGAGCACAGACGGAGAAAACCAAGGTGAACACACCGGGGCAGAAATAGCAAAATCAAGAACAGATGAAATAGAAAGAGAGGCGGTGAGAGCAGAAAAAGGTCACGCAAGAATAAAAACACACCCGTCAGAAATCTAAGGTCTGCGAGAAGAGAGAGGATTGTTGCAACATTAAAATGGGCAGAACAGGGCAGGAAAAAAGAGCCTAGAGACAATGGAAGGGTTTAACCAAACGTATCAAGTGCAAGGAAAGATGAAGCAATGAGCATGGCTGTGGGCTGAAGAAGAAACAGCCGATCTGACAGCAGACATCCTGGGTCAAGGGGTTCAAAGTGAGCCAGGCTTTGAAGCGAGGAGGCACTGCAGGTCTGACAGACGTGCCGCTTAGTTCTATCAGGCTTTTAAGAACTGAGCAAACCGCTGTTTTCGACGGCAGGCACTTCAGACAAAGGTGAGAGACCTGTGCAATGAGAAAGGAGCTTGTGATAACATTTTTTAAAGGAAAGAGGGTAGATGTCGAGAACTATATAAGCATGGAGTGGGAGACAACAGAATACTCAACAAAGCAAAAAAAAAGTTGGAATGTTGTGAAATCACAAGACCTGCCAGGGGCTTAGCAGGGATAAATGACAATGGGAGCTCCCTCCACTGTAGCCCTGAAACACACCAAAGGGAGACGCTGGGGTAGGAAATATCAGTCTATTTTTATCGTGCCCAAAGGAAGGTCCAATACTGGCACAGCATCTGATTTTTTTTCAAAAGCCATCTGAAATGTAGTTTTGTGTGAAATCTCCTGGGTTTTATATATTGGTTCAACTTTTTTTTTTTTTTTTTTACTGTGCACTGTGCAGACCAAACAATTTCAGGATATGGGTTGAATTTGACCATGACCACCATTTTATATAAGGTGAGTTTTCACCTTGGGTCTGCACAAGGATCTTAAGTTCCTGATGACCTGAGGGGTGTAAGAGTAGGGCTTGCAGCATGTGTATGTGGCGGGGGTTGGGGGGGGGAGGTAGGGGAAGAAGTTAACAACAAGGAGAATCCAGCTGGAAGTGGGAGACAGAGAAGAAAAGGGAATGGCTTACTTCAGGCGGAGCTCAGCTTTGGTTTCTGCAGGTGGTAGCACTCTGGCAGTTACTGATAAAATATAAGATTATTCAAAACAAAACAGGAAAATCCAATTATATGGATGGTATCTATATATATATTGCTAATATGCAAAGGGTCCCCTCGGGAGTTCGACCGGGAGACTGGGAGTTCAATTGCTTGCTATGAAGTGCACTGACCACCAGAAGGCGGCAAGGAAGGAAGGAAGGCCCTGGCTGGCAGCTAGAAGGCCCTAATCGGCCCTGATTGCTGGCCAGGCCTAGGGACCCTAACTGTGCACAAATTTCATGCACCCGGCCTCTAGACAAATAAAGAGGGTAGGCCTATAGGATTATTTTTTCTTCAAGGTTCAGAGAGGATAGAATAGTAGCTGTCATTTATTGAGAATATACTGTGTATCAGGGACTTTCCATTATATGACATCTCTAAAATCTATAACAACCCATTTTACAGATGCTGAATGGGTTGTTCAAAGGGGTTAAAACCCAAAGCACCCATGTCCCAGGGCCTGCCTTTATGCTTTTCATTTGACATGGCAATCTTTCCCTAGTCATGAATATCTTGAATGCCAAGATATTATTCAGCAAATGAAGTACAGTAGCCCCCATTATCTGCAGTCCCACTTTTCACAGTTTCAGTTACCTACAGTCAACCACAGTCCAAAATATTAAATGGAAAACTTCAGAAATATATCATAAGTTTTACATTGCTGTTCTGAGCAACATGATGAAACCTTTCTATCTCACTTCATCCAACCTAGGACGTGAATCATCTCTTTATCCAATGTATCCACACTGTATATAGTCCCTTCCCATTAGCCATATAGTAGGCCTCCCAGTTATCAGATCCACTGTAATAGTATTGTTCGAGTAATCCTTATTTTATTTAATGCCATTTTCACATAAGTTTTATCACAGTATCATAATAATAAAAGGCTAATATACAAATGGTCATCATGCCGTGACACCATAATGACCAATCAGCAGGTACCTGAGGCTGCGTGATGCCTGGCTGGGGCGGGGGACTCAGGCTGTGGCCCCCGCCCAGCGGGACTTGACAGAGGACCTCAGGCTGTGCCCCCTACCCCAGTGCCAGGCCTGAGAACCTCAGGCTGCAACCCCCACCTTGGCACCAGGCCGGGGGACCTGAGGTTGCACCCCCTGCCCGGTGGGGCTTGACAGGGGACCTGAGGCTTCACCCCCTGCCCAACACTGGGCCGGGGGACCTGAGGCTGTGCCCCTGCTCGGCAGGGCTTGATGGGGGTGGGGCCGGCTGGGTCTGGGTCTCACCCAATGGGGTTGGGGCCAGCCGGGTCTGGGTCTTGTGCGATTTTGAAGCGCATGCGGGTGGGTGGGGACTTGACTCTGGGTCCCATGGCGTGCCCCAGACTCTGACTGGAGGGAGATTTTCGTATACATTTTACTAATTTTCTTTCATCTCTGACACTTCTATTATAGAGAAAGGGCAAATAGCAATATTAAAATATTTCCTCTAATTCCCTTTTAATGTGCACAAATTTCGTGCACTAGGCCACTAGTATTGTTATAATTATTCCATTTTATTGTAAGCTATTGTTGTTAATCTCTTACTGTGCCTAATTTATAAGTTAAGTTTTATCAGAGCTATGTATTATAGGAGAAAACATTATATATAGGGTCTTGGAACATAACTCACATGAATAAAGGGTGACTTGCTTTACTGCATGGATGAATCTTGAAAACATTAAGTGAAAGAAGCCAGTTGCAAAGGACCATTTATATGAAATGTCCAAAATAGGCAAATCTGGACACAGAAGATAGATTGGAGATTGCCTAGGGCTGGGGTGGGAAGGAGAGACTTGGGTGTGGCAGCTAAAGTATATGGGTTTCTTTTCAGAGTAATTAAGGTGTTTCTGGAATGCTTTTGAAATATTTTATTTTAATTACCTAGATCTTGGGCTTTAAATTGATATATCCAAGTAGGTTGAAGTAGCTGTGTGAGACTGTAGGTCTTTGACAAAGCCATGCTGAGGAGTGTGGGGTGCAAGGCCAGCCCCCTTTCTTCCCTTAGACCTCTCAGGCTTACCCCACATCCATATTTCTCTTTCTCCAACAGGAGCAGGCTCAGCTTGGAGTCAGGAACAAAAGAGAAAGGTCTGTAACCTGACCACCTTACCACTGTTGCCGATGGAAACAAACAAATAGATATGAAACCAGGTGCCGTTTATATTTTTTAAATTACTTTAGACAAAATGTCATTGAAGAATCTTCCTTTTTCCAAGTCCATTACTGAACTATAATGGGAGCAAGTACAACTGTTTTATTTAGGACTTTGGGGAAGTGACAGGCGTTTAGAAATGAATGGCTTGATTTCTACCAAAGGGAAGAAGAAAAAAAAATCTTCTGAAACTGACTGATGAACACTATTTGGAGTCTTTGGTGAGCTCCACATTGACACATTGATTTGCCTTCCTCACCTATAACGGTAGATTGTCCAATGACCATTTTGCACAATATAAAAGTTAAGATGGGTCTTATGTTTAGGAAACATTTGTTTCCATAAGAAGACTTTCTAGTTCATATCATATCGCCATAAAATCACAACAAACTTGATACAGTACTATGGTTATATTTTTAGGAAATGAACTTGATACTGTACTATGGTTATACTCTTAGGAAATATATACTGAAATATTTAGACGTAGAGGGTCATGAACCTCAGATGGTTCAGAAACAAAATTAGAGATAGATTAGATAGATAGATAGATAGATAGATAGATAGATAGATAGATAGATAGAGATGGCGAGTTCATATAGAATAAAAGGTTAACTATAGATTAATCTGATGAAGGGCATGAAAAACTTCTTGTGCTATTTTTATTTTTATAATTTTTAAAAGTTTTAAATCATTTCTAAATCAAGGGTTAAAAATAAAAAAGACTCTAGGCCAGAGACTAAGAATACACTGTTGCTTCTCAAATGTTAACACATCCAGAATATAACTGGCTCACATCTGATATTACTTTATTTTTCCATAATTACTTTAAATTGATTATATATTAATATGATTGAAAAATCTGAGCACTATAAAAAGGCAGATACTGAGAACTGTCACTCTGCCCCTTTCCCAACAATTCAGTTATCTCTCACACCCTGCAGGTAACCACATTTATGAGTTTCTGATTTACCTTTCCAGTGATTGTGCATGCAAATAGGAGTCTATATTATCCCCCCTTCCTCACACTATATGGGGTGTGCTGTGCACACCAACCTCTGATTTGCTTTGGTCACACAGCAGTGTGTCATGTAGATCTCTCCATTCTGATATCACTGTAGGATGCTCTCTCTATTTGTAAAGAAATGGATAGAATAACCACTTCCTTTAGGTATACAGAATGTGCGCCCAACCCTACTGCTTGGCCAGGTATTAAATTAAATGTGCTTTGAATTTACACTTTACAAATAACTAGAAAAGTCAACTTTTAAGGATGTCAGAGGTCAAATTCAAAATGCTTAGACACTTTCTTCCATATTCTGACCAGTTTTGAACATCAAGGAACAATAAAACCTCAAATATTTTCTTGAAAGAACACTGACCACAGAGTTACTGACATTTTCATGGTTCCCTTTTAAATGCCTCATTCTGGGAGTTTTCAGACTATATTTGTTTTTGTTCCTGCTCTTTACTCTACATGGCTGCAGCACAGAACTGTCAGGGGGATTACGTTTGGGAAAAAAAAAAAAAAGCTCCTAAATTTTTGAAATATTATGACCAAATGAAATACTTCTTTTCTGCCTGCAGTGCAATTCAATTCATTTCAACAGACACTTGGCCTTATACAAACCACTGAGCTTTTAAAGATGGATAAGAAATTGGTCCTGAAAATTTTTTTTAATTAAATTAAATTTTTTAAAAATTGGTCCTGGCCTCAAGATGCTTACAAGTGCAGCCATGGGCCACTTAACAACAGGGACATGTTCTCAGAAATGTGTCCTTAGGCAATTTTGTGGTGCGAACATCATAGAGTGCACCTACACACACCTAGATGGTGTAGCCTACTACACACCCAGGCTGTATGGTGTAGCCTGTTGCTCCTAGGCTACAAGCCTGTACAACAAGTTACTATATTAAATACTGTAGGTAATTTTAACACAATATACGTATTCATATATTTAAACATATCTAATCATTGAAAAGGTACAATAAAAATATGGTATACTAGTAAAAGATAAAAATGGGCCCAGCAGGTGTGGTTCAGTGGTTGAATGTCAACCTATGAACCAGGAGGTCATGGTTCAATTCCTGATCAGGGCACATGCCTGGGTTGCAGGCTGGATCCCCAGTAGGGGGCATGCAGGAGGCAGCCGATCAATGATTCTCTCTCATCAATGATGTTTCACACTCTATCTCTCTCTCTTTTCCTTCTTCTCTGAAATCAATAAAGAAAAATATATTTTTTAAAAAAGATAAAAAAGGTACACCTGTATAGGGCACTTGCCATGAATGGAACCTACAGGACTAGAAATTGGTCTGGGTGAGTCAGTGAGTGGTGAGTGAATGTGAAGGCCTAGGGCAGTGATTTTCAACTAGTGTGCTGCAAGAATTGCTAAAACATACATGACTGTTTAGTCAAGGGGCACTGAACTCTTTTCCTTAGATTATCAAATAAAAAAATGACAACAGCTGAACACAACAATAGCCATCCAGTGTGAATGAATCAAAATTATGCCTATTTTTTTGTCAGATGGGAAAAATACATATTTTTAGTGTGCCCCAGAATTAGTATATATGTGCCATGAGATGAAAAAGGTTGAATATTGCTGGCCTGTGGAATTACTGTGCACAACTATAGACTTTATAAACAATGCACACTTAGGCTACAATAAATTTATAAACAATAAAGTCAAGCACAAGAGAAGACCATGCAATCAGGAGACACAGTAAAGAAGAGATGCATAAGGCTGCTGCCAACGTAACATGGGATACTCTTTTACAGAAAACTATTTTTTTAATAAGTAAAAAGAATACACTCTAAAATAATGATAAAAAGTATAATGTAGTAAATACATAACCCAGTAACATAGTTGTTTATTATCATTATCAAGTATTACATATTGTACATAGTTGTGTGTGCTATACTCTTATACAGCAGGCAACACAGGTTTGTTTACACCAGCATCACCACAAACATGGGAGCAATGCGTTGTGCTACGAGGTTATGATGGCCACGATGTCACTAGGCAATAGAAAATTTTCAGCTCCATTATAACCTACTAGAGGCCCGGTGCACAAAATTTGTGTGTGGATACGGTCCCTAGGCCTGGCCTGTGATGCGATCAGTGCCATCTTCCGCGGCTGCTGGCAGCTGGCACCGCCCCCTGCCACCACCCACCTCCGATTCCCAGGCGATCGGAGCCTGCTGGCTGGGGGGAGGGACCAAGAGGTAGGCTGTTCCCGCCCCCTCCCCGACCCCCCGCCCCATGGCGGGTCACCCTCTGTGTGTTGGGCGCCCAGCGGGGCGGGGGCCTTGGCCTGGTGCCACCCACCTCTGGTTCCCCATTCGCCATTGGGCGATGGGAGCCTACGGGCCAGGGAAAAGGACCAAGAGGTGGTCAGTGCACATATTGGGTCACAAGCAAAGTCTCCACAAATTCAAGAAGATTGAGATCATAAAAAGCATCTTCTCAGACCATGATGGCATAATGGTTAGAAATAAACTACATAAAAACAACCCAAAATACTCAAACACTTGGAAGCTGAATAGCATGTTATCAATATTGATTGGTTACCGATGACATCAAAGAAGAATTAAAAA